TTGTTTAATCTAAAGGTGGACGGGTGTTTTTGTAGTGCTAATATCTGATATATATTTTATTTTGGTGTGATACTGATGGTATGCGCTACAGAATCTTTGTTGGAAGCCTAGAACCATCGTAACAAAAAGAACTGTCGCTGCTACCGGGTAGAATCTGTGATCGTTGTTGATCGCTGAAAATATGATTGATGTTCATTCATTTTTTGGGATGCTTACAGTTTGAACAGTGATAGAATAAGTCTTTGGGAAAATTTTTTGAAGAATCGTTAAGCTTAAGTATTAAAGAAAAAAAAAACAACAAAAGATAGGAAATTGATAAAATAAAGCATTATTTTTTGATATTTCGTTTTCTTTTTTGCTTTTGCTAATTTCTTTTTTATTTTATATGACGTCTATTGTCAGGTAAATTCTGTGAAAAATTTTTTCAACCAAAAATAAAACAGTATGTTTATTTTAGTTCAGTTTTTTTTTTTTTTTTTTGATTTTCAAATTTTGATACAATTGTTTGTTCTGCTTTTTTTTTAATCAACTTTTTTGAGTCATACAAATAGATGACGAATAAAAACTGAAATGATACTTAAATTGTCACTGTTTTTTTGCATTATATGTCTTCTTTGTCTGTTGTGTAAACATTAGTTGGAGAGCAGAACTTTTGACTAGCATAAAAATTAGATTTGAAAAAAAAGAAAGGTGTAAAAGGAAGCCAAAAAAAGTAAATTGAAATATATAATAAGATATAAAATTTTAATGTTATTTTTTCTCAAAAAAAAAAAAAACGAAAAAAAGATTGTATAATAAAGAATTTTACTTCTTATTTTCAGCTTATCAACTGATCAGTGTTTTTTTTTTTGATACAAACAGTGATTTGGGATTGTCACCCATTTTCACCGTTTGTTTTATTTGATGATACACCACCTATGCTTTAAGTGTTTTTCTTTTTTTTCAGTTTTATTTCTATTTTTTGCACTTTTTATTTTTGATTTCTTTTTTTTTTTCTAACTTTTCTATTCTTCTTTTTTTTTTTCTTCTTCTTCTTCTTCTTCTTCT